ATTTTATTAGGTACATTTGGTAAAGCATGTTTTATTTGTCGAATACCAATAGATAATTATAAATTAAATACAATTGATGGTTTATCATTTATTGCTGAAACATTTCCTGTTTGTCGAGTTTTTCCATTAGCAGCATCAGCATATGGTATATTAGCACTCGATTTTACAAATGATGGTCTTGATGAAATAATCATTGCAACAACAAAAGGTTTACATATTTATCAATTAGAATTAAATGAAGTTGTTAAATTAATAGAAAATCGTTTAGAAAAGAAAAACAATGAAAATGAGAATTTATCAAATAGTCATTAATTTTAATTTTTTACTTTTGTTGTTCTAGATAATTTGTTTTTTTTTTGAAGAAGTAAATCATGTCACTCGAAATTGAATCAGCTGAGTAAGTTTTCAAATAAGATTTGAAAAAGATACGAATATAAAATTGATAACTTCAATAAGTCGAACTTGTTTTACGGACATCAATTCATTTTAATACACTAACATCGAATAGATATTGAAAACGTACACAATATAACTTCTCTTTAATGAACATCCTGCGGACTTATCAAATTTGTCCACTATAAGGAGGCCGCCCATTATGAAATGTTTTGCGGTAATTCATGCTAATAATCCTAGCTGTAACACTTAAACACTAAACTATAGTAATTTATAGTATAGGTCGACTGAACATATTTACTTAAGATTCATGTAAAATCATGGACTCTGACTATCTAACAAATACACGAATATTAAAATGCAACTTTTTGAACATGAGTTTAGGGATGTAACAGTGACGGTGAGCAACCAATACATAGATCAAAACATACAACCATCGAGTAACGATGAAATCTGGTTTTCTTTTTGATACTACTCACAGGGGAACTTCTTCAACTGTACCCTTCTAATTTCAATGATTTTTTTGAGTATAGATACAACGTCGTGTTCTAAAACACCTAAAAGAATTCAGGTTCCTATTGAGATTTGGTCAAGCTACTGAATTTTGATTTGAAAATTTGTGCATATAGAGAACTCAACTACACTAGTTTCCTTGAAAAAATTCAAAAGTTTTGAACAAAGTCTCTTCGAGATATGAGACTTTCAAAGGATAACATGGGTTTTTTGAAAGCTTCATATTTCGAAGAAACTTTGTTCAAAACTTGTGAACTTTTTTTCGAAAGTTATTCTATGTAGTTGAGTTTTCTATATGCATAAATTTTCAGATCAAAATTCAGTAGCTTAGTTAGATCTCAATAAGAACCTGAATCCTTTTAGGTTTTTTAGAACACTATATTGTATCTATACGCAAAAAAAACATTGAAATCGGAAGGGACAGTTGAGGAGGTTCTCTCGTCAGTTCTTCTAACATAGATCTGTCTGATTAATGTAAAATAAAATCAGTCTCATCCTAAGTTTGTTGTGCATTTCTACACAAGTGAACACTACGTAGTAAGCCGGTGCTACCGGTAAATGATATATCACTACCGTTACATCATACCAAGTTATATCTTCATGTTGTCTGTGAAACGAGATTGACTTACTATAGTTATCAATTTTCTGTTAAGATGACAGATTTAATATTTGATATATATATATTTTTTTTGTTTAGTGTTATTCGTCTTATACAACAATATCTTAAAGAAAATAATCTCTTACGTACTTTAGCTCAATTACAAGTATGAGGAAATTTACATAAGAAAAATTTATTTATGATTTTGTTTAGGAAGAAAGTGGTATATCATTAAATACAGTTGATTCCATTGAAAGTTTTAGTAGTGAAATAAATAATGGTCATTGGGATACTGTTTTACAAACAATTCAATCACTTAAATTACCTGATAATAAACTCATTGATCTTTATGAACAAGTAAGAATTTAAAGAAATAACAAATGATAAAAATTTAAAGAATTTTTTTTTTCATTTAGATTGTTATTGAATTAATTGAATTACGTGAATTAGGAGCAGCACGTACATTATTACGTCAAACAGATCCAATGATAATGCTTAAACAACAACAACCTGATCGTTATGTACATTTAGAAGATTTACTTACAAGATCTTATTTTGATCCAAGAGAAGTCCGAAATCTTCTTTTAAAAATAATAATAGATTTTAAATAATTAATCTATTTATTAGGCATATGCTGAAGGACAAAATAAAGAAAAACGTCGTCAAGCTATTGCTACTGCTCTTTCAGGTGAAGTTAGTGTTGTACCTGCTTCACGTTTACTTGCTCTTTTGGGTCAAGCATTGAAATGGCAACAACATCAAGGACTTTTACCACCTGGTATAAATAATTTTAATATTCTAAAAATTTATTCATTCTTTTTTTTCTAAGGTACTTCGATTGATTTATTTCGTGGTAAAGCTCAAGTACGTGAACAAGAAGAAGAAAAATATCCAAGTCAATTAAGTCGTGTGATGAAAGTTCGTTTCTTTGTTTTGTTTTGTTTTTTTTAGTGTATATATATATATATATATATTTTTTCGTTCGTTATAGTTTGGTACTAAAGCTCATGTTGAATGTGCACGTTTTTCACCTGATGGTCAATATCTTGCAACTGGTTCATTCGATGGAATAATTGAAGTATGGAATTTTACAACAGGAAAAATTCGTAAAGATCTTAAATATCAAGCTCAAGAACAATTTATGGTTATGGATGGTGCTGTTTTAGCATTATATTTTAGTCGAGATTCAGAAATGTTAGCATCAGGTAGTCAAGATGGACAAATTAAAGTAAAAAAATTTTGTTTTTTTTTCATTTTAATAAATTGAAACAAGAAAAAAAAATAATTAAAATAGATTTGGAAAATTTTAACTGGTCAATGTTTACGAAAATTTGATAAAGCACATTTAAAAGGTGTAACAAGTTTGGCATTTTCAAAAGATAATACACAATTATTAAGTACTTCATTTGATCAGTTTATTCGGTAAAATATTTCTTTTTTTATGTCTTATTAATGTTTAAAATATATGAATTATTTCTAGAATACATGGATTAAAATCTGGCAAAGTTATAAAAGAATTTCGTGGACATGTTTCATTTGTAAATAATGCTATATTTACAGCTGATAGTCATCATGTTTTAAGGTTTGTTAAATAATGATTTAATTTAATTATTTATTTTTCCTTAATTATTAGTGCAAGTTCAGATGGTTCAGTTAAATTATGGAGTATAAAAACATCTGAATGTAGTGCAACATTTAAATCATTTGGAAGTACAGATATTACAGTTAATAGTGTTCATTTATTAGCAAAAAATCCTGAACAATTTGTTGTATGTAATAGAAGTAATACTGTTGTTATTATGAATATGCAAGGACAAGTATGTATAAAATTGTATTTATTCAGATTTTTTTTTCTTGTTTTTGTATCATTTGTAATAGATTGTAAGAAGTTTTACAAATGGAAAAAAAGAAAATGGTGATTTTATTAGTTGTTGTGTATCACCACGTGGTGAATGGATTTATTGTTGTGGTGAAGATATGATGCTTTATTGTTTTAGTGTACAATCTGGTAAACTTGAAAAAGTTTTATCAGTAAGTATAGAAATTAGTGTTGAATGAAATAACTTTCGTTTTTTCTCCTTCTATTTGTATTTTAGATTCATGAAAAAGATGTGATTGGAATTTGTCATCATCCACATCAAAATTTAATTGCAACATTTTCAGAAGATGGAACATTGAAATTATGGAAATCTTAGATTTTTTTTCTTGTTTGTATTATGTGAATGTCTTTGTTTGTTTTTTTGTATAAAAAAATTCGAATAAATAAAGGCTAAGAAGAAAAATGTCGATTATTCACATGTATAACGTGAACAAAAAAATGATGAAAATTGTTCCACGACATTAATGTATGAAAAGTCATTTTCAAGGAAAAATAGTCTAAGATTAAGTAAAAAAGTTGTCGTAAAAATATGATTACAATGTGATAAAGGTAGTTATATTCATCAATAAAAGTTAGCATCAAGATCAGTTAGGAGAAACGAACGATTTATTGATATGTAAAGAAAACATGAAAGCCCAAATCGTGAGTCAAATTGCTTTAATCGTCATGCTATGTCAAACTCAAAGCATAAAGAATAACAAATTCGTAGCAAATACTCATATCAACATCCATATCTACACCCCACGCCACACTTTCAACTTTGGGTTAGTTTGCCTTCTCAGATCAATCGCTTCGACATAGTGGACATTCATTAGAAATCATTAATCACATTGACTTATAGCTATCATCATCTGCTCCGGCCAAGATAGTAATAGTTTCATCGAAAATTACATCTAGTCAGATAAGAATGGTAATAAATACGAGAAGTTGATCCATTTCATACACAGGTGAAAAAGATTATGATTCCGATCAGGTGTACATTAAGACATAATATTGAAGAATCATTAAAAAGGAGATATGAAAGGCGAGTAGAAGCATACGAAAAAAACCAAATGAATTTCGCCAATGATGGCAAGTATATGGTCGACTAGACGGAAAAAGTCACAGTCTACGTTCATGGCAATACTGATCACTATGAGATGCAATATTCACAAATTGTTCTCCATCATGGCCAAATGTCAATAGAACTTGTGGTTGTAATATTCTTAGGTGATGAATGAACAATTGATGCATCAATTCATTTAACAGTGAACATCGTTAAAAAAAGTGTAAAACAATAAGCATATTGGTTGGTTTGTTTTTCACGATTGAAATTTTAGAACTTCAAAATTCTATTTCGATTTCTTCTTTTATCTTTCAAATTTCTTTTTGAACGGAAGTGAAACTTCGTAGTTTTTTCCTCATCTTTTGTGTTAGCTTCAGAACAGTTCACAAATGACTTTTTTTATTTCGTATAAGAATTCTAATGCTCTTTATGAACAATATTTCCAATAAGTTATATAAGACAAATGAATACATGAAAATTCAATAGAAAACAAAAACAAATTTCAAATGTTGATGATTGTTGATTATTACGCCATTAATGCTTTCACTATGTCAAACTTTGCAGCATGCATGCAGAGCGACTATGAAATGAAACGAAAGTCTACAAGTGTCATCTAATCAAAATAACTTGGTCAATTTTTAGCTTCATGTTTGAAAAAAGAATCATGTTGTTTTGAAAACTTTCTAATCGTTTCTTCAAGTAAATTTTTGTTTTAATTCAGTTTTGAATCACTAACAATGGAGACTTCTCAAATATGTCTCTAAGACATTAGCTATCGTTCATACATTTCTCAAGTTAAGTATTCAGGAAAAATATTAAGTGTTGAAATTTCTTGACAAAGTTGCTGCAAGATTATATTCAATTGTTGGTATTCAATTCTCGAG